AATGTCTAGTAGTTGAAATAGTTATATAAAAAGAGTTTAAAAAATTGAAACGAGTTACAAGCATGAACTGGTAGGGAAAAAAATAGATATCATAAATTACGTGCTATAAACAAAATGGGCTTTGACAAGATTTTTAAAAGAGGAGAGTGATACAGCTTGTTGGATTTTACAAGGTAGTGAATTAAAAAGGGCTGTGCCAGAAAATCTAAAARTACGTTTGCCAAGGCTAAGTTTGGGTTTGGGTAGATGGAGGTCAGCCTTCCTTCGAGTGTTGTAACCATGTACATTGTAGTTCCTAATGAAATAGTTACTTAAATACTGAGGAACTAAGTTATGCAAACATTTAAAAACTAAAACACATTTGTGGACTTTACGGTTTGTTTCTAAGTCAGTCCACCCTAAAACATTAAATGTCTCAGATATCCTTGATTAAGAACTAAACGATTGTCTTAAATAGGGTCAAGTTTTGCTGTTTATGCGTGTAAATTGTCGTTTTTTAAAATGTATCACAAAACTACGTTTATGTCAAGTCCTTTAACTTCTGGAGTCAAGATCAGGCGATCAATACGTATAGTGCTACCGCTGGACTTTTGACACCTTTTTGATGACCAAAAACCTAATTTTTAATCCACAAATTATCGGACTAATTGGAGTTTTCAAATAAGGGCAAAATTGTATCCCGTTACGAAAAATTACAGCCAAATTTGCGCTTTAATTTCGTATTACAAACGCCATTCCGAAAACTTAACCGTCAACCATCAGATGATCTAAAATTGAACCGTCAAGCGTCAAAACGGCTTGTTTTCAACTCTCTCAACCGTCAACCGTCAACCGTCAACGAGACTCCCCATGGAGAACCTCTTTAAATGGAGGAAAACCTAGCTCAAAATAAAAAGTCAAATGATACAAAGAGCACCAAACGTCATGTTCTTGACCGACCCGCTCACTCAACAATGTGATATAATCACATGCAAGATGGTCGTTTTCCCATCTAGTAAACATCAGTACATGGTCTGTTTATTAATTAGTTTTTTTACCTTGAATTGAATATGGGTTATCCAGAACTGAATATAAAAAATAAAAGGTAGGGCTCAGCGGATTCTTCGGGACTTCTGAACTATATATATGTATATATATATATA